CTAGTCTATTCTATGTTTCCAACCTAACAATGATACTCAACACAAACAAACGGTATGGATTTTGAACATGCTAGAACCTTTTTTTTTGCATTTCACCTTTTCGTAAAAAAAATCAAAATACTGGGCATACCAAAGTCTTCTTTCTCTTGTATCCACCGGCGAGATGCTGTGAGCATAGCTCGATGCCGCCTCTAGGCCTCGGCCTCGGCCTCGACCTCGACCTCGGTGGAGCAAACTTTCTGAAACCCAGGAGACCGTAGAAGCAGCGGCAGAAAAGCCATGATGCAGACTAGGAGACGCTGGCGGCCCCAACTTGAGAAGCAAAATGCCGCCTGAAGAAAAACGCCGAATTTCAAAGACCACGAAAGCTAGTCAAATCTAGACGGGTTCACCAGAGACCTAAACTGACATGATCCCGGAAGACCGCCGGAGAGACAACTTCACACGCTCTCCGCCGGTGAAAAACACATCAATGGAACGAGGTAGGATGAGAAGAACATTATTACTACCGTAGGACAACGTCACCGTTTCCACGTCCCAAACCAAACAAAAAGACTCGCTACAGAAAACCCGAAAATATCACCTATATTGTTGTACGACAGGTCCGTGTCTCATGTCAAGCTCGCTGCCGCAGAAGACCATGCACGGACACCCTCATCTTCGATGACCCATCCAGGGCGGACCTATCGATGAAGATCTCTGTGCTGGACCCCTTCGGTGCGTTGACTTCACCAACGACGATGTTGGACACCGCCCAATGAAGGCCTCCGCTCGAGCACCCACCAGCGCCTCCACAATAGGCCTCCACAGATCCCGACCTCCTCGCCGTCACCTGCTCTGTGCGGACTTTGCGTGATGACAATGCCCCGATGGCGGTGAGAGGGGCTGAGGATGGGAGTCTGCTTGGGTTTTTCAGTTGCATGCATGGTCGCCTATTCTTCTCATGATCACGACTCGATCGATCTCGCGTGAATATGCTAGAACTTGGTCATGCTTGTATGCAAAATTTGAATACATTAAAACTCATTTGAATTTAAGTTAGGAACCACACCATGTTATTAATTCAATCTTGATTTATAAATTCGAAATCTTTAGCATGGTTTGCTCTTTGATGCGTCGAGTAGAACCTCTCTACGGTGCGACCGGTCGCTATGCTACGAAATGAAACGCGCGATCCCGCCACCGCTCCACCGATGCCGCCGCCGCCGCCGCACCCGTCGCGCCTCGGCTTCCACCCGCTGGAGCCGGCGCTCTCCGCCGCGGCCGACGCGCTGCACCGCTCCTGCCCGAGCTCCCCGCGCCGCGCCGTCCTCCGCCGCGCGCGCGCGCTGCACGCGCTCCTCGTGGTCTCCTCCACGCCCTCCGCGCCCACACCCGGCACCTTCCTCGTCAACCAGCTCCTCGCCCTCTACGCCCGCCTCTCCGCGCTCCCCGACGCGGTCGCGCTCCTCCGCTCCGCGCCGCGCCCCAACGTCGTCTCCTTCAACACCGTCCTCTCCGGGCTCTCCCGCGGGGCCCCGCGCCACGCGCCGCAGGCCTTCCGGCTCTTCGGCCAGCTATGCGCGTCCGGGCTCCGCCCCACCGCGCCCAGCCTCTGCGCCGTCCTCCGCGCCGCCGGCGCGCTGCGGGACGGCCGCGCGGGCGCCCTGGCGCACGCGCAGGCCGCGGCGCTCGGGTTCCTCGCCAGCGACATCGTGCCCACCGCCCTGCTGCAGATGTACTCCGAGTGCGGGGCGCCGCGGGACGCCAACCGGGTGTTCGACGAAATGGCGGCGCCTGACGTGGTCGCGTGGAACTGCGCGATGCACTGCAGCGTGCGGTACGGCTACCTCGGGCGTGCTCTTGGGCGGTTCTGCAGCATGGTGAGGGCTGGGCTGGCACCCACTGAGAGCACGTTCTCGTCGGTACTCAGCGGGTGCGCGCGCGCTGGGGATCGCTGCGGAGGGCGCGTGCTACATGGCTGGCTGGTGAAGTCGGAGGAGCTTGACCCTGACACGCCGCTGCAGAATGCGCTGCTCGGCATGTACTCCAGCTGCGGTGATCTGGACACTGCGTTGCATGTGTTTGACAGGATTGAGAGGCCTGACCTGGTGTCATGGAATACTCTGATTGCTGGGTTTTCTGGTGCTGGGGATGGATGGAGTGCTATGGATGCTTTTGTACGGCTCAAGGATGTGCGGTTTGGCGAACCGGTTGTCCCTGACGAGTATACATTTGCAGCTGTGGTGTCTGCTGCTGCTGCTTTACCTGCAATGCGTAGTGGAATGCCACTTCATGCTGAAGTGGTCAAAGCTGGGTTGGAGACCAGTGTCTTTGTAGGTAATACATTGATCAATATGTATTTTACAAACGGGGAGCCAGGCTCAGCACGAATTTTGTTCGATTCCCTTCCGGAGAAAGATGTAATTATGTGGACCGAGATGGTTGCAGGCCATTCTTCGTCAGGCGAAGCTGAATTAGCCTTGAAGTATTTCATTAGCATGCTTCAGGAAGGGTACAAGGTCGACAGCTTCTCTCTCAGCAGTGCTTTGAACTCCACAGCAGAGTTTGCAGGTCTTAAGCAAGGAGAGATGCTCCATGCTCAAGTGGTAAAAAGTGGTTATGAAGGGAATATCTGTGCCTCTGGAAGCCTGCTTGATATGTATGCTAAAAATGGTGCTCTGCAAGGTGCCCATTCGGTGTTCTACACCATAACAAAGCGAGATTTGAAGTGTTGGAATTCCATGATAGGGGGATATGGCAATTACGGCAATTCAGAAATGGCATTTAAGTTATTTGGTGAGATGATTCGTGATGAGCTGCAACCTGACCATGTAACTTACATCTCCCTCCTTTCAGCATGCAGCCACTGTGGACTAGTTGAGAAAGGGAAGTTCTACTGGTTTTGTATGATGACGGATGGTATTATGCCAGGATTCAAGCACTATACTAGCATGGTGAGTTTGCTGGGTAGGGCAGGTTTATTGGAGGAAGCAGTTGATTTACTGCAGAAATCCCCATTTGCCAAGAAATGTCCTGAACTATGGAGAATTCTGCTAAGTTCCTGTGTAGCATTAAATGATTTGTCCGTTGGTATTCATGCCGCTGAACAGGCACTCGCACAAGACCCAGATGATATGTCGACACATGTATTGCTTTCAAACCTTTATGCTGCTGCAGGCAAATGGGACGTTGTAGCTGAAATTAGGAAAAGGATCAGAGGAATGATGGTTGAGAAGGAACCTGGTCTGAGCTGGATCGAGATCAAAAATACGATTCATGTGTTCTCAGCAGATGATGAATGCCACTCTCAGATCGATGACTATCGTGGCGAGTTGCTTCGACTTAAGGGGAACATGGAATTGTTGTATAGTTCTGAAAATGAATTGCTTTCAAGTGGCTAAGTTGCCATGAATATATTTCAGTGAAAGAGCATTTGAATTGCTTTCCTTTGAGGATTGCTTATTGATAAGGACCCTCGGGTGAGTTATTAAGATTAAAAATATGGTGCTTGTCTTCTCTGCAGAGCTGAAGGTTGGAAAGGGCCACCCTAATGGTTGAAAATATAGTTGTGAAAATGATCTGCTGCCAAGTGGCTAAGTTGCCATGAACAGATTTTGCTTAGAACTTAAAAGAGGTTTTGACTGCTTTCCTCTGTCACGGCTGCTAATCTGGCTTATAATAAGAATTTGGGTGTAACAGCTAAGCAAAAGAAATGAGAAGGTTTACTTATCAAGGGACAATCTATCAATTTAAGGTTCCAATAGCACTGTTACCACCATTGGGTCAAAGAAGGTTTACAGTCAAACTGCATCAAACAAGTTACTGAGGTGGAAGTAACACAGTAACCAAGCATAAGTCCGACTTATGTTTGGTTCCTCCAGAGACTAGGTACATACTAAGCACTGGATTGATCAGCTGACAAACAATTGCTCGAGTCTGAATGGGAGAGAGAAGTTTGAGCCGATGCTTTGGTGCCTCTTGCATTAATATGTCTTTTTGGTTCTGTTTCAGTCTATCTGTGATCACCAGCAGAATCTTGAGCTATAATTTTATAGAGCAGAGATACCTAAATGCCCCGTGGTGCCCTTTTTTACTGTTTCAAAGAAATTGATGTTGATTGTTGAGTAGATTATTTTGACAAGGGCTTCTTGAGTTTACACATTAATCATTTGTCAGGTGTGCTGGCTGCTTCTAGGAAAGACATGCGCTGCTGAATATTAAAGGATACAGAGTAAGATATCCCAGAGATTATACTGGAATTGTTCTAACAGAAGACAAAAATGTACAGCTTAACTGAGGGCATGGCCGTATGAACCACAGTTACCTGTCCCAGTCAAGCCCTTCCAATTCATGTAAGCTTCCTGAGTTTACAGATTAATGTTACCGGGCATTTAGACTGCCTCATTAATTATTTTCCTTTGGTTTCTAAACTTAGTACATATGATTTTTCACACCCTTATCAAGACAACTAAATAATGCTGATGTTCTAAATTAAGTGACTTCTTATGATTGGGTAACCATATCGATCCATCATTGCTTAGGAGGAGGGCCACAGCTGCAGCAGTGCAGCAGGTTAGGAGGGAGCCATGGCTGCAGCACTGGGCCCAGGAGGGGACATTGACTCTTCCAAGGAATAAAGATAAGTTAGGATTTGGCACCGTTAGTTACTCTGTCTCTGTCTCTTAGTCTCTTAGTCTCTTGGTCTCTTAGTCTCTCTCTCTTTCTCTGACAGCGTTGGTGGAAACTTTTGGTCTTTTTGATATCATATTATATTTATTCATGGGAAATGGAATGACGTTGTCATAGACTTTGAGGACAGCACCCGTAAAAGTTTTATGTTTCCCCACACCAATTCCTCAGTTTCTGGTCATTTATCAGGCTTTCTGTACAACGGTATCTCCGAGGCAACAGGTTCGGTCTTTCCTTGTTTGTGTGTTCTTCATTCTTGAATCCATGCACCCTTGTAATAAGGTGTGAGTTTGGTTAAGAATTCCTTCCCAAGTCCTTCCAACCTGTTCATGCCCTGCAGCAAGGTTTTCTACTTTCACCGCTTCCTCTCGCTGAAGATGGGAGGCTATTACTGCTTGTTTCAATTCTTGCTCATCTATGTTCTGCTCCACGGACATCGCAGCCATTCTCTGAACCAGGCATGCCACCCCACTGACCTGGAGGCACTTCTTGCTTTTTCCAATGGCTGGGACAGGAAGGGTGCCAAGCTCACCGGATGGCATCCCAACGACACCGCATGCTGTTTCTGGACCGGCATCTCCTGTGATCTTGGGAGGGTTATCGTGTTGGATCTCTTCAACAAGAGCCTCCATGGCGGCATCTCCTCCTTGATCACCTCGCTCGATGGCCTCATGACACTAAACCTCTCCTGCAACTCGTTCCATGGTCAGCTACCAGAGGGACTTGGCCAGCTAGCGAGGCTGCAGATGCTCGACCTCAGCGTGAACATGTTCTCTGGGCCGTTCCCGGTGAGGGAAGACGGCTTCCTAGCTATTGAGATGGTAAACATCTCCTTCAACAAATTCACCGGACCGCATCCTACGTTCCCTGGCGCGATGAACCTGGCGGTTCTTGATATCTCTAGTAATACCTTCTCTGGTGGCTTCAACACCAGGGCCCTCTGTGTTACGCCAGTCAAGGCCCTGCAATTTTCCAGGAATGAGTTCAACGGTGAGGTCCTCGCCGGCTTTGGCAGATGCAGGATGCTCGTGGAGCTCTCTATTGATGGCAGTGGCATCACTGGGAGTATCCCCAGCGACCTGTACATGTTATCAGAGTTGAGGAGGCTCAGTTTACGGGAAAATCAGCTCTCTGGTAGTCTCAGCCAGTACCTGGGTAACTTCTCTCAGCTTATTCATATCGACCTGTCATATAACATGTTCACTGGTGTCATCCCTGATGTGTTTGGTGGTTTGAGGAGGCTGGAGTTCTTAAACTTGGCCTCAAATTTGTTCAGTGGCACATTGCCTGCCTCCCTATCAAGCTGCCCTATGTTGAGGGTTGTCAACCTAAGGAACAATTCGCTGTCAGGCGAAATTGCCCTAGACTTCAACTTACTGCCAAGGCTGAATGTTCTGGATGCAGGGAGCAACACGTTGAGTGGTGCCATACCTCCCAGTCTCATGTGGTGCACCGAGTTGAAGACGCTGAACTTCGGAAGGAACAAGCTCAAGGGGGAGATACCAGAGAGCTTTAAACATTTGCGATCCCTGTCACACCTCTCACTTGCTCAAAATGGCTTCACCAACCTGTCATCGGCATTGAGGGTCTTGCAGCACCTGCCCAAACTGACGAGTTTAGTGCTTACGAAGAACTTCCATGGTGGTGAGACATTTCCAATAGATGGCATCAGTGGTTTCAAGAGCTTGCAGGTGCTTGTCCTTGCAAACTGTGCACTCTCAGGCATGATCCAGCCTTGGCTGCAGAACATGGAGAGCCTCAGAGTGCTGGACATTTCATGGAACAAGTTGAATGGAAAGCTCCCATCATGGTTAGGCAATCTGAATAATCTCTTCTACGTCGACCTGTCAAACAACTCGTTTAGTGGGGAACTCCCCAAGAGCTTTACACAAATAAAGAGTTTAATTTCAAGTACTTATTCAAGTGAGCATGCATCAATAGAGGACCTCCCATTATTCATTAAGAAGAATTCAGCTGAAAAAGGTTTGCAGTACAACCATGTGAGCAGTTTCCCTCCGGCGCTGATCCTCTCTAGTAACTGGCTTATTGGGCCAGTCTTGCCTGGCCTTGGGCATCTTGTGCAGCTCCATTTACTTGACTTAAGCTGGAACAACTTCTCAGGGCACATTCCTGACGAGTTGTCAAACATGTCCAGCCTGGAAGTGCTGAATTTTGCCCACAATGGTTTAAACGGGAGCATACCTTCATCTCTATCGAAGCTGAATTTCCTCTCCAAGTTTGATGTGTCATACAACAATCTCAGTGGAGATATCCCAATAGGGGGGCAATTTTCCACATTCACAAATGAGAGTTTTGTGGGCAATGCTGCACTATGCCTTCTTCGGAATGGCCCCTGCTCTGGAGAGAATCCACTTGAAGGAACTGGAAATGATGGCACCGATACTGTATCTGCAATGCCTGCGATGACATACATCACTGTGGAAGTGGGATTTGCTTTCGGGCTTTTAATCGTCTGGAACATACTGTTTTTTGCAAGGGCTTGGAGGGCTGCGTATTTTCTGACGGTTGATAGGTTCTTTGATATGATATATCTAGTGACAATGACGAAGGTGAACAAGTTAAGAAGAAAATGGGAGGAGTAAAGATCATCCTTGAAATAAGTCACCCATGGCTCTTCACAGGTTCTAACCAGGGAGTTTATGTGCAAATGTTGTTTAATATGCTGTCTCCCTTTTTCTCACCTTATGTTATCTTCTTTGCTGCCGCCTCAGGTGTCATTACCTGGATAGAGTTAGCAGTATGGGTTGTGTGGTTAGATTTTGAGTTCCCCTTCATGTTGAGGACAATATTGTTGTGATATGTATTGGTACAATAAAATTTATGAACTGTATGATGGATAATCTGAGGACTTTGTTGTTCTCTGTGTGCAGCAGTACAATCTGCTGCCCCTTTCTCTATCTGTTTTGCTAATCAAAGATGGTGCATGTACAAGATTTCGGTTTCTTCCCCTTACATCCCTTTTTCCGATTTCTCTTGGCTACTTCTGGTATTTTGGTTTGTTCTACCCTCTGTGCGACTGTTGTTTACGGTTGTTCTAGCTTTTGGAAGGTTAACCAATTACATTTAGCAAGGCTTTTGGTCCTCATGAGGAGGCGAAAGAGAAGAAAATGTTCTGTGAAATTCTGCAGGAAAAAGAAAATGTAGACACAAACACTGCGTTAAAACCTTTATGCTTCTGCAGGAAAATAAGCCGTTGCAGCTGAAACTAAGAAAGCAGCTAGAGGGAAGAGGGGTGATTTTTCTTCTCTTGTCAGAGGGGTGATGGAAGACAATGAACCTAGGTTTGAGCTGGATTGAGATTAAAAACGTAATTCATTTGTTGTCTGCAGATGATGATTGCCACTCTCGCATAGATGGTTTTCACTGTGAGTTTCTTAGACTTAAGGGAAACATGGAATTGTCATATAGTTCTGAAAATGAATTGCTGTCAAGTGGCTAAGTTGCCATGAATAGATCTCAGTTAAAGGGCATTTGAGCTGCTTTCCATTGAGGACTGATACTTGATAAGGACCCCGGGGTGAGCTGTATTCAGATATAAAATATGGTTGATGCCTGCAGGCAGAAACAAGAACAGAGAGCGGAGAGGTGTGTGCAAAGCTAGCTAGCTCCTGCAAGTGTCAGGTGAATTCGGTTCAGCTCGGTCAGGTGTGCTCGTCCATGAGAGCTAGTATTCTAGTTCAGTTTTTTCTGCTCTATGTGAAGAGAGGAGAGAATAAACTGGGTCGAAGAATTATTTGGTGAAACAAACTGTATTCTGACCTGAACTGAACAAATTGGTCACTAACAAGATTGGTGTCTATCAAGAGCGCTGATGAAATTTCCATTTGCCCGGAGAAGATGGCTCCTATAATTCAATACTAGGTTTTCTGTGTATTCTTAGCCTGTAAAGTGAAATAACTAGCTTAATTTCTTTAGGAAGCGACCGCAAGGCTCCTCATTGCTGCTTTGAAACGCACCTTGTATGGAACCGAAGTGAATAGTGCTTGATGCTATCGTCACTGAAACTACTACTGCATTCCTTGTTTTATTTGGTTCCTTTTTCTTGCGCTTGACATATAATTTCACTGCTAAAATAGCATTGATGATATACACGTCATAAATTGGATAACTTACATATAAATACGACGGTAACTTTGGGTCGGATAAAAAAATATGTTAAAAACATACCACTGATGGCTACGGTGTAAATAACACGGTAATATATGCACCACAGTCCGCAGACCTGATAACTTAGATGCAAACAATGCCGTATTTTGGATCTGAGAGAAAAAGTTGTTAAAAACACACTCATCGTAAACTGTGTAAGTAGCATGGTAATATGTGCACCATAGACCTGATTACTTTGATGAAAGCACCATGGTAAGTTTGACCATGGGGAAGAAAATTATTGAAAAGATTTCCCCAATTATTTTTATGTAAATAGTATGATAATATACACACCACATACCTGATAATTTATATACAAACATCGTGGTAACTTTGACCATGGGGAAATTTTTTATTGAAGAGGAACTTCGGTTAGTTCTTAGGAAATTGAATGGTAATATAAGCACCACATACTTGATAACTTAGGTGAAAACATGATGGTAATCTGAACGCGAGAATATTTTTATTGAAATATACCTTTGATAATCTTTGTGTAAATAGCATATGAAGACACACACCATAGATCTGATAACTTACGTCTAAAACACCATGATAACCTTTTTTACTTTGAAGGTAAAAGTTGTTCAAACAAGCCCTGGTAACTTTTGTGTAAATAGCATAATATTTTAAGCGCGGCAGACCTATAAGCACCGTGGTAATTTTTTGACCCGGGAACACTAGTAGAAAAAAGGGCTTTCGTCACAGCCGGATCGGAGCAATAGTCCCGGTTGCGTTACGAACCGGGACTAATGTGAGCATTAGTCCCGGTTCAAGCGGCTAGGGCACCGTACATGCATTAGTCCCGGTTCAAATGGGACCTTTAGTCCCGATGGGTGCCACGAACCGGGACTAAAGGGTGCGATGCCCATTAGTACCGGTTCGTGGCACCAACCGATACTAAAGGTTAGACTTTTAGTCCCGGTTCGAGCCACCAACCGGTACTAATGGTCAAACTACTTATTCAATAAATATTAGTGTTACTAAATAATTATTTCAGTTTTTTTTGAATTTTGGTCAAATCTGGTCAAACTGTGGTTAAACTATGGTCGAACTACTTATTCAATAAATATTAGTGTTACTAAATAATTATTTCAGTTTTTTTGAATTTTGGTCAAATTTGGTCAAACTGTGGTCAAACTACTTATTCAAGAAATATTAGTGTTGCTAAATAATTATTGTTTTTTAGAACAATAGTTTCAAACTCAAACAGTGAAATGTGTGACTTCATGCTCAAGCTAAATTCCTGAGGGTTAATAGGATTGACATCTTACTATTGTCAGAAAAACAACAAGTACAGACTTGGAAACGAGGGAGAATAGAACCCGAAAGTTAAGCGTGCTCAGGCTGGAGTAGTGAGAGGATGGGTGACCGTCCGGAAAGTTAGATGATTTGGAATGATGAGAGGTGATTAGAGATTAGAGGTTAAATTGAGCAGCGATGCGGGAGGGGTGATTAGAGATTAGAGGTTAAAATAATTCAGAAATTTGAAAATCAATAAAAAATTCAAAAAAAATCATAAAATTTCCTTTAGTACCGGTTGGTGTTACCAACCGGGACTAAAGGTGGACCTCCAGGCAGCGGCCACGTGGACGGCCTTTAGTCCCGGTTCGTGTAAGAACCGGGACTAAAGGAGAAGGCTTTAGTAACGACCCTTTAGTCCCGGTTCCAACCGGGACTAAAGGCCCTTATAAACCGGGATTAAAGACCCTTTTTCTACTAGTGGAAAAAAGTTATTCAAACATCACCGATATGTTTTATGTAAATAACATGATAATATAAGCATGGCATAACCGATAACTTACGTACAAACATCATGCTAACTTTTACCGAGAGGAAAATTTTGTTGAAAAATATACCCTCATCAACTTACGTGTAAATGGTATGGTAATATACACCCGCATACCAGATAACTTACGTGCAACCACCGTAGTAATATAGACCAAGGGGTGGGGGAGTTGTTGAAAAACATAACCCTGATAAATTATGTGAAAATAACATGATAATATATGATCCGCATACATGATAAATTACATACAAACACCGTGATAACACTGATCAACACATAACTTCAGTAACTTAAATGTAAATAGGATGGTAACATATCAATCATAGACCTGATAACTTGGATACAAACACTTATGTAATATCGAGCAAGGGGTAAATAGTTGTAGAAAAAGATACCCACGGCAACTTATATGAAAATACCAAGATAACTTACGTACAACAACATTTTTCGCAAAAAAAAAAACTTACGTACAACATGTGCGGTAACTTACTTAGTCAATATGTTGCGACTTTTGAGCCCAAAAAGTTATCAGAACATATCAACACGGGATCTAGTTTTAAAGATCACATCGTGACAAATCATTTATGTGAAAATAATTTTGCATCCGACCGACGGTTTGATCTACAAAATATTTTGAATTTTCAGAATATGGATAGTCTAGGATGACATGAGCTTTTTGTCCTCTATTACATGCATGTGGATGGGAGAACCATTTTTATGCCCCGATAACTTACGTGGAAATACCACGATAACTTGCATAGTACAGACATGATAACTTATGTGACCAAGGCATGGTAACTTTTGACTCGAAAAAAATTCATCAAAACATACCAACATGGGATCTAGTTTTGAAGATCTCGTCGCGACGAACCTTTTATGTGAAAACCGTTTTTCCATTCGACCAACGGTTTGAGATACAAGACATTTTGAATTTTTGGATTAGGAAGCACCTAGGATGAGATCAACTTTTTTGTCCTCTAGTGCATGCATGTAATTAGAGCAAGAAATGCCTGGAAGGAGAGTAAGAGGATGTTTGTTTCCAGGGACTTATTGGTTTAGGGACTTAAAAAAGTCCCTATAAGTCCCATCTAAACCAAACAGGAGGGACTTATAGGAGTGGGCATTTGAGACTTATGAAATAAGACTCTCAAGGTGAGTCTTGTAGACACTTATAGTTGTAATATGGTCTTTTACTCCATGTTAAGTCCCAGGAACCAAACATGTAGGGACTTTTTAGGGACTTGAGACTTATAAGTTGGGACTAAAAAAAGTCCTAGGACTTATGAACCAAACACGGCCCGAGTCATACTAATGCAATGCATGCATGCACTTAATTAGATGAAAGGAAGGAGTAGTGTGGTAGTTTTGTTTAGGTGGCACACGTGTGTCAAATATCACTGTCCTATAGAAAAATTGTGTAAGCTTTGCTTTACTCAGTTTGTGACTGTTGTCTTGGCTAATCCTACCATTTTTTAGTGTTACCTCGTTGTTTGTTTAGCAAGGCTTTTGGTCCCAGCTGGCAATTCCTTGAGCCTGCTTATAGAAAGGGAGAGAGAAGTTTGAGACAATGCAATCCTGTCTCTTGCATCACTGTATCTGTTTGATTTTGTTTGTGATCAACAACAGAGTTTTGAGTAATAGTTTTCTCTC